TGTCCTTATCCTTTGTTATTTTTATATTTCCTGTTTCCTCAATTTTGGCTTTAATCTGTGTTAATTCTCTCTGTTGGTTTATTTTGTTTTTTAAAAATCATTTTATAACTTCTGTAGATGAATACCAACCTTCTTTTCTAAATGATGAGCATATTTAAGGTCATACATTTTCCTACAGCCTTTATTCCTTTGGACATGAAGTGTTTATATCTTTATTGCTTTCTAAATAATTTTTACTTTTGGTTTCTTTTGTTATACAAGGTTTATCTGCGAGTATTTTTCTCACATTTTTCTTTTTTATGTCTTTTCTGTTAGAACTTCGCATGCCTCAGTGGTATCTTTTCTCATTAATTCCACCTGATTATACTTTTTGATGTACATATTTGCACCTTTCTAAATCTCAGGGGAAATTTCTTTTTAAAAAAAATAATTTGTCTTTTATCATTGTTTTTCTCCTTCTGCCTTCCTTTGCTGGTACTTCTCTTGTTAACAAGTTCGACTTTCTGGGTCTTTCCCCCACACCCTCATCATTTCTCTCTTTGTACATTTTTTTTTACTTTTATTAGATCTTCAGAGCCACTAATTATAGTCTCAACACTGATCAGCCTTTCTTGCTATTTATCTACTCAATGTTTTAATTTAAAAATTTGACTTTTTAGTTTTAGGAAGTCTTTTTTAATGCTCTTCATGCGTGTCTTCAAGTCTTTATTTTCTTCTGTCTTCTGCTTCCCTCAAAGGTTCTCCTTCATTAATGGACTGCTGTGATTGCTTTCTTCATTCTTTCCCTCTCTGAATACTTGACTTATTTAGGTGTCCTTTCATTTTTATTTGTTCATTATGGCCAAGTCCAACTGCTGGGTGCTTTAAGTGGGCCAGTCCTACAGGGTGGGAAGGCACAGACATCTCAGTTGTCATGGGCCAGTAATAGGCACTGCAATGGAGGACTAGGGGGAGTCTTCTGCATTAGAGTAGAAGAAGCTCATCCTCTCCACCCCTCCTTAGGACCAGAGGGTCAGGCCCACTCAAAGGTCCTGCAATCATCAAAGACAGCTTGATCAAGAATCTGATGTATGCTGGTTCTTGTCCTAAAACTAGGAAGAGCCACAACAGATGTCTTGCTCACACCCTGTCTACTTGAGTGCCATCCTAATATCTGCTTGACTTGAGAAAAGAGGACCTGTTTGAAAATAAGAAGTAGAGAGGAAATGGAACACTCTTAAGCCATCATCTTCCCAGAATCTCCAGGGGACGTAATGTTGAACATGGAAAGTTACATTCCTCATTCTCTTGGAGTTTATAGGCTAATTAAGAAGGTAGACATTAATCAAATAACTAAATATAAAAGCAAGAGAGAAAGAAAAAAGGAAGAACAGAAAGAAGAAAGAAAGAAGGATTGAAAGAAAAACACATCATTCTGAAATCACAACTGTAATGAGTGCCCCAAAGGTAAATATAATAGAAAGGGGGAAAATGTATGACAGAGGAGCTGGCCTCGTAGCGCTATCAGGAAAGTGATGCCTGACGAAGTGATGACTGAGCTGAAGTCCAAAGAAATAGTAGGAATTAACTGTGCAAAGAGAGATGGAAAGAGAGCCGCAGGCAGAAAGCAGCATATTCAAAAGCATTGGAGTAAGCATGGCACATCTGACACGCTGGAGGAACTAAAGAAGGCCAAGGTGGCTGGGGCAGAAAGAGCAAAGTATTCAAAGAAACTGGAGAGGAATGTAATGACTGACCAGACCCTGGGGGCTTTGTCGGCCAAGATGGGGAGTGTGGCCTTTTTCCTAATAGCAGGTAGCCATTGGAGCATCTTACTTCAGAAGATCATGAGGATTCGGTGCAGATAACAAATTTATTTATTAATATCAACTTACTTTATTTTATATGTGCAGGTTTGTTACATGGGTATATCGTGTGACACTGAGGTTTGGGGTACAAATGATCCCATTACCCATGTAGTGAGCATAGTATCCAATAGGTAGTTTTTCAACCCTTCCTCACTTTTTCCTTCCCTATCTAGTAATCCCCAGCGTCTATTGTTCCCAACCTTATGTCTGTATGTGCCCAGTGTTTAGCTCCCACTTATAAGTGAGAACATGGAGTATTTGGTTTTCTGTTTCTGCATTAATATTATTAGGATAATGGCCTCTAACTCTATCCATGTTGTTGCAAAGGACACAATTTTGTTCTTTTTGTGGCTGCATAGTATTCCATGGTGTATATGTACCACATTTTCTTTATCCAGTCCACCATTAAACAGACACGTAGGTTGATTCCATGTCTTTGCATTGTGAAGAATGCTGCAATGAACTTAGAGGCACATGTGTCTTTTTGGCAGAATAATTTATTTTCATTTGGGTATGCATACCCAATAATGGGACTGCTGGTCCAAATTGTAGTTCTATTTTTAGTTCTTAGAGAAATTTACAAGCTGCTTTCCACAGTGGCTAATTAATTTACATTCCTACCAATAGCATAAAAATGTTCACAATTCTCCTCAGCCTTGCCAACATCTGTTATTTTTTGGGTTTTTAGTAGTAGCCATTATGACTGGTGTAAGATGGTACCTCATCATGGTTTTGATTTGCATTTCTCTAATGATTGGTAATGCTGAACATTTTTTTATGTTTTTTGGCTGCTTGTATGTCTTCTTTTGAATAGTGTTCATGTTTTTTGCCTACTTTTTAATGGGGTTATTTGTTTTTCATTTATTGAATTATTTAAGTTCCTGATAAAATTCTGGATATTAGACCTTGGTTAAATGCATAGTTTATATTTTCTCCTATTCTGTTGTCTGTTTACTCTATTGATAGTTTCTTTTGTTGTCTACAAGATCTTTAGTTTAATTAGGCTCCTCCTGTCATTTTTTATTTTTGTTATAATTGCTTTTGAGAATTTAGTCATAAATTCTTGCCAAGGCCAAGTCCAGGAGGATATTTCCTAGATTTTCTTCTAAAGTCCCTCACCTACAACCATCTGATCTTTGGCAAAGTTGACAAAAATAAGCAATGGGGAAAGTACTACCTATTCAATAAATGGTACTGGGATAACTGGCTATCCATATGCAAAAAGATGAAACTGGACCTTTACCTATCATCATTTAAAAAATTAACTCAAGAGATGGATTAAAGACTTAAATGTAAGATCTAAAACTATAAAAATCAGGCAGCAAGTTAAAAGAGGCCATGGGATGCTGGGAGACCAATGAGGAGGCTATTGTATAATAATGGTCCAAAAGAGGGGTGATTATACTAACAATTTAAAGAGGACACTTTTATGTGGTAAAATAGAAAATGAGTGATAAAGAGTGAAAGGTATCCAAAAATGCCCCTAAAGTATCTGAATTATACCACTAAAACAGGGACGTTGAAAGAAGACCAAGTCGTAAATCACCAGTTAAGTTTTTCATGTCAAGGTTCCTTGGTAATACTCAAGAGCAGAAGCTAATAGGCAGTATAACTCAGGGGAGGGTCTAGACAGGAGATATAAACACATGGGCCTTCTGAGTTTAGGTGGAGATGGAGGCTCTTAGGCATAAATGAGCACACCTTGGGGGAGAATAAGGGAGAAGAATGCTTGTTAATCTTGTATACTGCTAGTGTGTCTAAATTGGACTATCTTTTCTGAAAAGGTCATTGGGAATGTGTATTGTTTTAAGATTGATCATAACTTTAGGCTGGGAATGGTAAGTCACTCCTATAATTCCAGTACTTTGGGAGGTCGAGGCAGGAGGGTAGCTTGAGCTCAGGAGTTTGTGACCAGCTTGGACAACAGTGAGACCTTGTCTCTACAAAAAATAAAAAAAATTAGCTGGGTATGGTAGCACACGCCTGTAGTCCCAACTACCCAGGAGGCTGAGGTGGAGGATCACTTGAGCCCAGGAGTTTGAGGCTGCAGTGAGCTATGATTGTGCCACTGCACTCCAGCTCAGGCAACAGAGACAGATCCTGTCTCTAAGAACAAAAACGAAAACAAAAAAACTTTAGATCCTGTAACTCTATTTATATGAATCCGTCTTTAGAAAATAATAGAAGTAAATATGACAAATGCTCATGGATGAAAATATTTAATTATTATTTATGATAGCAAAATAAAAAGGAAAATGATTTGATTATCTAATATTAGGAGGTTAAATCATCATACAATTATATGAATGAATATTATGCTACTATAATCTGATGTTTATAAAAATTTAATTGTATAAGTAAATGATGATGATATAACAGTAGTGAAAAAGCAAGACACAAGATAGCTGAAAACTAGAGAGAAAGGGAGGGTGGGAGGGAGGCAAATAGAACCTCAACTATCTGAAAAATAGGTACAATTAAAGGGTATAAGAAAATAAGGTCTCTAAGCTGTGGAGCCTGGATGATTGTTATGATTTTAATTTGTTTCTCTACTTTCCAAATATTTTTAAATGGGCATGTATTGCATTTTATGTATTATCAGGAAAGGAAATATAAAATACTGTCCCAGTTATAAATATGCACTTCACTGGCACCTTACCCTACTAAACACTGGTTATCAGTCTTTCCTTTTCACAATTTAATGAGCATTTCTGTTTTGCATCTGGCATTGTCTTTTAGGTTTGTAAGATTACTGCCATGCATCTTAAAGTTTTGTGAACTATTTAATCATTTAAACTTGTAAAATTGCTTCAGAGAATTGATCTCATTGCTGAACAAGAGCAATTCCTTCCCCATAGCACAAGTTCCAATCAGTTCACACCCAGTGTAAAATATTGAATACATTTGTATTTCTTTTTAATTTTGTAACAGTACAGATAACTCTGAGCTTTTTAATGTGATTTTTTAAAAAATTATAAATATATTTAGCAATTCATTAATTATTTTAAAGTATGATTTGTTTTTGTTTTCCTCCAGTGACTGTCAGAAACTATCCATTTGGATTGTCACTTATATCATCATCGTCTACAGCAACATAAAATTATTTTGAATTGGATTCAAACTAAAAGCATGATTTTTTTTTTTAAACTCCAGGAATGTATACAAAGACTATCGCTTCCTTGAGCTGGCATGTGATTCCCAGGAGGATGTCGACAGCTGGAAAGCATCTCTACTAAGAGCTGGGGTCTATCCTGACAAATCTGCTGTAAGTTGAATATATCTTTTATTTTAAAAGTAATTATTAGCTATTTTTTAAAAAATATTAATCATACTACATGCTGGAGAAACTAATTTTCTTACTGACAATTAATTTGGCACACTTTTAACTGGTACTTCATTTATTCTTTTTACATTTTTTTAACAATGTTTATTCTCCATTAGATTTCTATTTGAAGTTTTTCAGTATATTTGTTAAATAAAATGTCCTACTCAGCCATAAAACATAATATATGCAATCTCAGACCAAGACAAAGTTTTTATTTTACTTTAAAATTTTGTTTTTCTTTATATGCTATTTCATACTTATGATGGTATTAATACTATCAGTATATCGTCAATCCTAACACCAATATTTTGAATTGCTTAAAATATACTCATTTTAATAAAAATCTATCCCCTTTCATTATGTCTATATTCCCTGTATCCATAATTATATCTGTGTGCAAACTCTGTTTAATGTCATCATGAGTGTGAAAGAACCAAAATAAATACATTGCTATTCCCATTTATCTTTATTAATATGATTCACGTGTCTTTAAGACACATCTCTTATTCAAGTTAGTAAACAGACCTTTTCTTTGTGTTCTTTGGAAAATGTAATTACACAGGCTAGTCTAAATTTAAACAGAAGTCTCACCCAACATATGTACGCCCGCCATTAAACAGACTCTGCCACTGAGTGGACCTCTCCACTTGCTGCTTCCCCCTGAATCTCTAGATTGTCCAGATTTCTCCCCAGAAATAAAGTACTGAGACTAAGCCTTGGGGATTTAGTTCAGCTTAACTCCTGAGGTATCTACTTGGCTCTCAATCAATTTATAGGAATAATCATGCACGAGTTGGGTCCTTTTTGACTTTAAAATAAGGAGAGAGTCTTTTCAAGAGAAAGCCTGAAATATGGGTGAACATAGGACAGTTAAGGCATTTCTAGGGGGATATCAGGCCTGACCACATTTCTGGAGTTATATTAAAATTTAACAGAGTTCCAAGAGTACAGGATTGAGGACTTGTACCAAAACATTGTCCTCTTTGCTGTGATTCTAACTCACACGTAGACCTCTTTATGCCATTCCATGCTACCCTTCCCTTCCTATACCTGTTTGGCACCAACAACAATGACCTCTCACAACATGCTTTGTGCCCTCCAAATAGAAGTTAAGCTAGATGCCATTCTGTCAATAGCCAGGAATACAGAAGCATTCATATATAATTTTCATAATTGTTGTCGGATTATTCTTCTGTTGTATGCATAGATATTTGCATTGATATGCACCACTCTAAAGACTACATGTGAGAAGTCATTAAAAATTCAGAGTACCACTTTTACTTTTGTTTTTGACTCTCCTACTATTACTGTTTCCTATCCTTTGATGGTAGTGTGTTGACTTTCACAAATGTTCTATATTAAAAATGCACATATACCGAATTTTTTATTAATTCATTCCACACAAACCTTTGGAGCATATGCTTTTTGCCAGGTGCCATTCAAGGCCCTGGTGATACAGAGGTGAACAATAAGCAATAAGGCCCGGCCTTCCTGGAGCAGACATTAAACAAGGGGGTAAGTAACGATCATTGATCATTGTGCACCATTATTTAAGACAGTGGTAAGTTCTATAAAATGTTAAGTAAGCTAAAGAGACAGACAGTCAGAGTAAGGGGCATGTGAGCTTTATTTTAGTCAAGGTGATGAGGGAAGGCCTCTTTGAAGAGTTAACATTTGAGTAGGCGCCTCACAAGTGCAAAACCAAGCTCAGTGTCTTAGATGAGCAGCAAGGCAGTGTGTCTGGAACATTGTGAGGGAAGAAAAAGGTGGTAGTTGGTTAACAAAGAAAGGGGTCAGGGGCCAGGTGACATAGGCCTTGAAGGAAAGAGCGAGCCTTTTGAATTTTATTCTGAGTGAGATGGAAGCCACTACTAGGTTTCAGGTCACTTAGTGACATGATAAGATTTACGTTTCTGAAAGCTCATTATGGCTGGAATGATGAGAGATAGTAGAGCATGTGGGTTCAAGCATGGGCTGTGATGTCACACCACCTATATTTATATTCCAGGTGCTTACTTCCAAGCTGCAAGGTCTTGGGCAGGTTACCTAGCCTTTCCACATTTCAAGATTCTCATTTCTGAGATGAAGATAACAGTGGTCTTTTATAGGGCAGTTGATAGGATTAAATGAGATAATTCAGGGAAAGCATGGAACAGAGCAGGTACAAGTAGGCACTATATTTTCATTTATAATAATAATTATGATTCTCATTATGATCATTTTCATCAAAACTACTTTCTTTAACAGCTAAGGGAAGGTTGAAATACTGTGAATATTATTATATAGCCCAGTGAGATTATCAATACTTTGTTATTGTCTATCTTCCAAATATGCTTGTACATTTGGTTATATATCAATGTGTGTGTATGCATATGTGTGTCTTCCTTACCATGCAATTATATTGTTTGTCAAAATGTTATGTTAAGTCATGATTTTGTATATTAAACCTATTTTAAATGCACTAGACAAGCTTGCTATTTAAACAAAAATAATGCTTAGCTGGGCACAGTGGCACACACCTGTGGTCCTAGCTACAAGGGAAGCTAGGAGGATTGCTTGAGCCCAGGAGGTCCAGGCTACAGTGTTTATTCCATCACACTCCAGCCGGGGTGATAGAGTGATACCCTGTCTCCAAAACAAAAATTTATAATGAATCTCTTATGAGGTAATAAGTGTCCTAGAAAAATCAGTTATTCATCTCCCAGTAAACTGGCTGGATTTTTATGTTACCATAGCTCTACATCAAAAAGACAAAGAAATATTTTCTATTTTTAATTAGAATACTCAATTTTAAGCAAATCTAGAGACATACTATACAATCTGGTTTGATTCTTTTATATCATTTTTATTTGTTTATAAACACATATTTGGTATAATAAGAAGATCAAGACAAAGGAATTTTTACTACATAGCAAAGGCAACACAGGAAATTAAATTGAGCAGTATGTGATGGTGTTGCCTTTTCTCAGCTTTTATCATAAACAATATTTGTATTATGCACCATGTAGTCCTACAGGTCATATTACATAATTGTTGACTTTCAGACATTTAAATGGCAGCTAACTGATGAAATTAACTAGAATACTTGTCTAAAATTTCTACTTTGTGAACACTCACTTATATTTTTGGGAAGGAAATTATTTTTAGTTAGTAATTCCTAATTTAGAAAGACTTAGTGAACACAAAATAACCTAATAACAGATGCCTCCATCTATGTAAATTTTTAGAATGTCTAAGTAGTGTGATTTTGCTTTCATATCAGTAAACCATTGAGTCTACACATCAGTCAATTGCTACCCTAATAATGAAACATTTATGTGTCATGCATGGATATGAGTCTAAACTTACAAAGTTCTGCTTTCTGCACAAGAGACCTCTATTTTGACTGGAAAGAAATTTCCATATAGATCTTTTTTTTTTAATGTGTGAGTCTGACATTATTAGATAAATAGCCATAACCCAAATTTGAATGAAGTGCTGTTTTGGACAGATTTTATTTTCTAGTGAGGTTATATACGCATGCTTTTAAAAATAATATTCTCACTACATGTTTTTCTCCATCACATCCAAGCGATGGAATGGTTTTCTGTCACTCGTGTCAAAATGTTCTGCTTCCCTGTTTCTTTAGCCTTTAATTTATCTTGGGGTTTTCTAAAATATTCTTTCTTTCCTTCCCCTTTCCTCCCTTCTTTCTCTCCTTTCATCCATCACTATTAAAGTGGGCTCTAGAGATTCAAAGATTAAAAAGATGAAATTCCTACTTAATAGGAATTCCAAGCCTAGTGAAAGAGAAAGGTGGAAATAAATACAATGTGATAAAACTACAGTGGATATCTATATAAACTACAATAGCCCTACTGTTTTTCCACATGGATTTTCTAATTACTTTTATGCTATTTCACTTTTCTAGATCCAAAGCAAAATGTAGACTTTTGGTCTGAGCAGTGGCATATATGACCCTAAAATGGAAATAAGGAGTCCTGGATTCTGGCTACTGACTTACTCTGTAAATTTAAACATAACTTCCTCTGAGCCACAGATTTAGCATTCTACCAGTAACTTGATATTTCTGAGCAGCCACAATATTTTAAAACTATATTTAAATCTGAATTTAGATTTAGCAGAATTTTATTTCTTCCATTTCTATTTTCTGTGGTCACTAAATTGAAATTACAACCATTATAAAATTTGATATCATTAAGAAAATATGTAGGACTCTATCCAGTTTCAAAGTAAAGATATCTCTAATGTAATTAATAGTTATTTTCACTGATGCGACTGAAATATAATCAATCTATATTGCGTTTGTGTGTATGTGTGTGTGTATGTGTATTAGTAGTATTAGGCTACAATTAGAAAACTTTTAAAAGATTATTTTATTAACACATGTACATAAATTTTTCCTACATATTTGATTATAAATAAATGTGAATTTGATTAAATATTTAAAGAACATGATATAACAAACAACTGACTTTTCTGGCACAGTTTTGTTGACTTACAATATTTAAATTATATAAAACATAAGGAATTCCAAATTTAAGTTCCTTGAAATATAGTGTGTGCCATGGAATGAGGAAGACTTTAAGTCAAATCCACTCACATTTTAATCCTGAGCATGCCATTTACTAGCCATGTGGCTCGGGAAACTTACTTAACTTGCCAATTGTTGATCCCTCTGTAAACTCAAAATAATGCCTTCCTCAGAGTGATTTTACAGGATTAAGTGAAGGTTCTTCTGTATCACAACTAGTTCAGTGGCTTCAACTGGGTGAATGTGTTCAATGTCTCCTAGCCTTTACGTATTTATTGTTTATATTTTTTATTATACTTTAAGTTCTGGGATACATGGGCAGAACTTACAGTTTGTTACATAGGTATACATGTGCCATGGTGGTTTGCTGCACCCATTAATTTGTCATCTACATTAGGTATTTGTC